TGTAATTGGATGGTCCCACTCTGACCACTGGGTACACTGGGCACTTGGATCTAAGGAGGTGCTAATTTAGCCTCTGCCTGAGGCTACCCAGCAGGAGCTATGGAGGGATCTGCAGATTCGTCTTCCTTGTTTGGGTTTTGGAGGTGCCCAAATGAGGCCCAGCTGTGAAGCAATGCAAGCTGCTGTGGGGCCTTGGGCCTTCTCTTGGAAGTTCTGGGTCTGTCTGGCCCAGCTGCAGTTTGTTAGGTAATTTTCAGATTGCAAAGGGCCAGGCCTTTCATATGCAAAAGCCTCTGCACACAGCTTGGGTGGGGCGGGGTCTCGGGATCAACAGAGTGGAGCAAGCAGCTATGGCTGATCCTCAGCACTGCCCTAAGGGGCCCTGCTCTCTCTGTCCCGGTAATCGCTGCAAGCACCTCTGAGAGAAAGCCGCCCTCGAGTTCTGAGTTCTGCCCGCTGCCAGACAGTCCAGTTTCTCCCATATGAGCCTCGGCCCCAGAGACTCACCCAGAACTGGAGTTCAGAGCAGCCGGGGGCTTGTGACTCCCTCCCGATCAGAAAGACAGCTGCGTCCTCAGTTGGCAGCCCTTTCCACGTGCGCCTCCATACCTCTGCACTTCCGCACCTCCTCTGAGTCTCAGTGTGCTTTTCTCTTTCCTTCTAGTTGTAGAATTTCCACTCAGCCAGCCTTCCTGTGGTTCTGGATGGTGTCCGTTTTGTCTTTTAGTTGTATTTTTGAATTTGTTGTGCGAGGCAGCAATTTCCTGGGTTTACCTATGCTGCCATCTTGGTTTCTCTCGCAAGTAAATTTAATATTAAGAAGAAGTTAAGGCCCTAGCTGGTCTGGCCCAGTGATAGAGTGTCAGCCTGTGGTCAAGGGCACATGCTCGGGTTGCAGGATCAATCCCCAGTAGGTGGCATGCAAGAGGCAGCCAATCAGTGATTCCCTCTCAACATTGATGTTTCTGTCTACCTCTCCCTTCCTCTCTGAAATAAGTAAAAAAGAATACACACACGCACACATGCACACACGCACACACTAATGGCCTCTTGCATGAAATTCCTGTGGGAGGGGGGATGTGTCCCTCAGCCCGGCCTGCACCCTCACCAATCTGGGACATCCCTCTCGCAATCCGGGACTGCTGGCTCCTAACCGCTCGCCTGCCTGCCTGATCGCCCCTAACCATTTTGCCTGCCGGCCTGCTCGCCCCCAACTGCCCCCCACCCCCCGCCACTGGTCTGCTCGCCGCCATTCTCCCCGGCCCCCACTGCCAGCCTGATCACCCCCAACTGCCCTCCCCTCCTAACCTGATCGCCCCTAACTGTCTCTGCCTCGGCCCTGCCACCATGGCTTTGTCCTGAAGGTCTCCCAGTCTAATTAGCATATTACCCTTTTATTTGTATAGATTTTTTTTTTAAATATATTTTATTGATTTTTTACAGAGAGGAAGGGAGAGAGATAGTTAGAAACATCGATGAGAGAAACATCGATCAGCTGCTTCCTGCACATCTCCTACCGGGGATGTGCCCGCAACCCAGGTACGTGCCCTTGATTGGAATCGAACCTGGGACCTTTCAGTCCGCAGGCCAACGCTCTATCCACTGAGCCAAACCGGTTTCGGCAGATTTTTTTTTTTAAGTTAAGTTTTCTCTTGATGTTAGGCAACTCCTGGGTCCTCCATCTTTTGGTCATTGGGAGTGTGGCAGGTAGACGGCTTCTGGGGAGGGAACTTCTCCCTGCATAGGGGACACTCTGAATTGGTGTCATACCACTAGGTTCTTTTCACTTTTTTGATAGTATTATTGAGGCAGCACAGAAGTTTTAAATTTTGTGTAGTCTAATTTATCTTTATTTTTTTAAGTATATTTTTATTTTTTTTTTTAGAGAGAGGAAGAGAGAGAAACATGTGCTCTGACTAAGAATCGAACCGTGACTTCTTGGTTCATAGGTTGATGTTCAACCACTGAGCCACACCACCAGGCTAATTTATCTATTTTTTGTTTTTTTGTTGTTTTTATAAAAAATATATTTTACTGATTTTTTTACAGACAGGAAGGGAAAGGGATAGAGTTAGAAACATCGATGAGAGAGAAACATCGATCAGCTGCCTCCTACACACCCCCTACTGGGGTTGTGCCCCAACCAAGGTACATGTCCTTGACTGGAATCGAACCTGGGACCCTTGAGTCCGCAGGCTGACACTCTATCCACTGAGCCAAACCGGTTAGGGCTCTTTTTTGTTTTGTTGCTTGTTCTTTTAGTGTTATATTACTACTCTTCTTCTTTTTTTTTTTTTTTTTTAAATATATTTTATTGATTTTTTACAGAGAGGAAGGGAGAGGGATAGGGAGTCAGAAACATCGATGAGAGAGAAACATCGATCAGCTGCCTCCTGCACATCCCCCAATGGGGAAGTGCCCGCAACCCAGGTACATGCCCTTGGCCGGAATCGAACCCGGAACCCTTCAGTCCGCAGGCCGACGCTCTATCCACTGAGCCAAACCGGTTTCAGCACTACTCTTCTTTAAGGTTGTGTTGATTATGCCTTGGGTTTAAGATTTAGTAGCAGAGATAGTGGTGATGCAGTTAGCAGGGCTAGAGAATGCAGAAGGGGAAGGGTGTGTGTTTTAGGGTTGGGAAATACTTGGGCAACAGAAGGCAGTAAATTCCACTTTTTATATACTATACTGAGTTTAAGGTACAGAGAAGACAAAGGAAAAAAGAAATATTAAATGGCCAGCTTGAAATATATGTCTGCAGGAAAGGAAGGAAATCTGGACTAGAAAAAGAAGGCAATTGTGAGGCATCCTGTTAGAATGATAAGTGAAGCTACAGAAATAGATGAGATCTACCCCGAAGGGGGCAGCATCTAAGAGAAAAGGGGGGCATAAACAAACAGCCTCCTGAAGATTATTTACTTGTTTTGGGGGAGTGTGTGGAGGCATATTTGGAGGGAAAAACAGTATCACTGTCATAGGGACAAGGGAACATATAGTAAGGAGAAGGATGTGACTGGTATTATCACACAGGAAGTGGAAGCAGGAGCATAAGGAGAATAGGGAAGAGACGCTTGGTACAAAGAAGTCACTGATGGTCTTTAGCAGGGATGAGGGGTAGCAAACTTGGACTGAGGGTGTCAGTAGCTGGGAAGACAGCAACGCTTGCACTAATTTGAAAAAAAGGAGAAAGATAACTTAACAGAAACGCAGAGTGATACAAGGTTTTCATTTTGCTTTTGAAGATTAAGGGTTAAGTATTTTGTGGGCTAAGGGGAAGGAGAGAGAAAAGATTCAATGGGAGGGATTAATTGATAGGCCTAAGTTTTATAGATGGGATGGACTGTGAGTGATGAGTTGAAGAATTAACCTTTTCAACTTAATTTCACCAACAGCCTCCCCCATTTCTTTATTTTTTTTTTCCTTCCAAATCCCCCCCCCCCCCCCAAAGTTTGAACACCTCTTTTACCTCCCCCATTTCTTAGGGCAAATTTCCTACTATCCTTTTTTAAAATTTTTTTTTTTCTTTCTTAAGTATATATGTATTTTTTTCAAAAAATATTTTTATTGATTTTTTACAGAGAGGAAGGGAGAGGGATAGAGAGTTAGCAACATTGATGAGAGAGAAACATCGATCAGCCGCCTCCTGCACACCCCCCACCGGGGATGTGCCCGTAACCAAGGTACATGCCCTTGACCGGAATCGAACCTGGGACCCTTCAGTCCGCAGGCCGACGCTCTATCCACTGAGCCAAACCGGTTAAGGCTATTTTTATTTTTTTACTGATTGCAGAGAGGAAGGGAGAGAGAGATAGAAACATCAATGATGAGAATCATTGATCAGCTGTCTCTTGCATGCCCCCTACTGGGGATCAAGCCCACAACCTGGGCATGTGCCCTTGATTGGAATCAACCCTGGGACCATTCAGTCCACAGGCTGACGCTCTATCCACTGAGCCAAACCTGCTAGGGCCCTAATATTCTTTAGTGTAGTGTTTGTATCACCATTTTGGGAAAGAATGATCTAGTTTAAGAGCATGTCAATGTCAGGGACCTTATCATTAAGGTATAGCCCCTGGAACATAATAATTATGGTAATGGTAGGTTGGTGGACAAAGTAAGGAAAGGAAGAGAGTCCCATCACCCGGGTCTAGAAGGCAAGGTAGTAAGAATGGGTATAAATGCAGGTAATGAAGGTGAGGAGAGAAGTTGAAGTTCACAGTGAGCAGCCTCCATCCCATCAGTTGAGCAGGAGACTAGTGGACTGCTAATATCAAGTAGGGTGGAAGCTTCTACTGTCAGTCTTTTCTGCCATCATTCTTTAACTTGTATTTTCATTATAGATTTGTGATACTAGTGACCCAGTGCACAGATTCGTGCACCTTGAAAGGAAATTAATTCGAAGGTGGCCGGCAGGGCAGGGCAGGATTGGGCGAGACGGGCCGGACATGCCCTGGAGCCAACCTCCCGCAGCCCCTCCCTGGCTGGCCAGCTGCACCTGGTGTGGCTCCATGGCTCAAAAGGTGTCTGTGGAGTGAGTGGGGTTCCTCCGGCAGGTGGGGTCCCTCGACCTGGCCTGCAGGAATTGGGCCGAAATCGGCTCTCCGACATCCCTCGAGGGGTCCCCGAGTGCGAGAGGGCACTCTGCAAAGTTGCTGTCGTAGCAAGTGTGCAATAAACCAGATTCAGGGCCGACAGTGCCCCAGCAACAACATAACCCATGGCTGAAGGTGGAATTGTGCAGCCGTGCGAGGAATTGGGCTCCCTCCACTCTAGTTTTGGGGTGTGTCACCCGAGAACCGCCGCTGCCAATTCATTGCAGCTTGGCAGCTCTGCGTTGAGCGTCTGTCCCCAGTGTGTGTCATAGCAACCAGTTGGACGGGCAGAGGGACATTTAGCATATTAGCTTTTATATATATAGATAGTACATAGATTCCTTGTCATTGTAAATAGTGGAGCAGCACACCCCTGCTGATTTTTAACACCATATTTTGTGTTCCCAGTTGATGCTTTCTGAGTGGTTAATTGACGTCCCTTCGGATTTGGGGCAGGAATGGATTGTGGTTGTGTGCCCTGTTGGAAAAAGAGCGCTTATTGTGGCCTCCAGGGTGAGTAGCTGCTTCCTCTTACATCACCGTTGCCTTGTCTGTAGTAAGAGGGATTCTTTGCACTTCATGTTCCTTGTCCACCACAGCAGCTGTGCCTGGCATGGGGATTGAAATACTTGCCTGTAGGAAGATCTTTTGAAAGCCATCTTTAGGCTGATGACACCCCTGCAGAGTGTGGGAGCAAGAGTGTGAGGAGAACTGATGTCTAATGGTACCTTTCTTTCCAAATAGGGTTCTACCAGTGCCTACACCAAGAGTGGTTACTGTGTCAACAAGTTTTCTTCACTTCTGCCAGGAGGCAACAAGCGAAACTCAACAACTGCAAAAGGTACCTACATGAAATTGTCTATTTTTTTTAAGTTTATAATTACTAGGTTTTTTAATCAGTAAAAGAAAGTATAAGGGAAACCAAGATGGTGGCATAGGTAAACACTGGAAATTGCTGCCTCGCACAACCACTTCAAAAATACAACTAAAAGACAAAACGGACATCATCCAGAACCACAAGAAGGCTGGCTAAGTGGAAATTCTACAACTAGAAGGAAAGAGAAAAGCACACTGAGACTCAGAGGAGGTACAGAAGTAAAGTGCAGAGGTCTGGAGGCACACGTGGAAAGGGCTGGCTACTGAGGACATGGTTGTCTTTTTCGATCGGGAGGGAGTCTAAAGCTCCCGACTGCTCTGAACTCCAGTTCTGGGTGAGTCTCTGGGGACCCAGACTCATACGGGGAGAAACTGGACTGTCTGGCATCGGTCGGAACTCAAGGGCAGCTTTCTCACAGAGGTGCTTGCAGTGATTACTGGGACACTGAGACACGGGGCCTCTTAGAGTAGGACTGAGGAGCAGCCATAGCTGTTTGCTCCGCCCTGTTGATTCCCTGAGACCCCACCCCACCCAAGCTGTGTGCAGAGGCTTTTGCATATGAAAGGCCTGGCCCTTTGCAATCTGAAAATTACCTAACAAACTGCAGCTGGGCCAGACAGACCCAGAACTTCCAAGAGAAGGCCCAAGGCCCCACAGCAGCTTGCATTGCTTCACAGCTGGGCCTCATTTGGGCACCTCCAAAACCCAAACAAAGAAGACGAATCTGCAGATCCCTCCATAGCTCCTGCTGGGTAGCCTCAGGCAGAGGCTAAATTAGCACCTCCTTAGAGATCCAAGTGCCAGTGTACCCAGTGGTCAGAGTGGGACCATCCAGATTACAGCTCCTCAGATCCATAAGGGACACACTCAGGGGGCAGACTCAGTGAGCACCAAAGCCCCACTGAAGCAAGTCTTGCCCCAGAAGGGTGTCTCCAGCACAGAAGTTCTCCCACTGCAGACACAGCTGATTCTCACAGACCATTGGCCTGGAGGTCAATTCTTCCCAGTGATACCTACAACAATCAAGGCTTAAGTACAAAAAGACTGTGCACAAAGCCCACAAAGGGGTGCACCAAGAGTGTCCACCTCAGGTAATTAGGGAGGCTGAGCCACTGGGCCCTATAGAGCACCTAGCACAGAAAGTCACTCTACCAACACAGGGAAGCATAAAAAATGTGGAGACAAAGAAACAGGTCACAAATAACAGAAATGGAGGAAAGCAAACGACTGGATATAGAGTTCAAAACCACACTTTTAGGGTTTTTCAGGAACTTTCTAGAAACCGCCGATAAATTTAGTAAGATTCTCAAAAAGTCTGGTGAGACTGCTGATAAATGTAGTGAGACCCTCAAGAAATCTAGTGAGACCCTCGAGGTTATGAAAAAGGACCAACTAGAAATTAAGCATACTCTGACTGAAATAAAGGATATTATACAGAGTTCCAACAGCAGACTAGAGGATCTCAAGAATCAAGTCAAAGATTTGAAATACGAAGAAGCAAAAAACACCCAACCAGAAAACAAAATGAAAAAAGAATCCAAAAATACGAGAATAGTGTAAGGAGCCTCTGGGACAACTTCAAGCGCACCAACATCCGAATTATAGGGGTGCCAGAAGAAGAGAGAGAGCAAGATATTGATAATCTATTTGAAGAAATAATGACAGAAAACTTCCCCCACCTGGTGAAAGAAATAGACTTACAAGTCCAGGAAGCGCAGAGAACCCCAAACAAAAGGAATCCAAAGAGGACCACACCAAGACACATCAGAATTAAAATGCCAAGAGCAAAAGACAAAGAGAGAATCTTAAAAGCAGCAAGAGAAACAAACTCAGTTACCTACAAGGGAGTACCCATACGACTGTCAGCCGATTTCTCAACAGAAACTTTGCAGGCCAGAAGGGAGTGGCAAGAATATTTAAGGTGATGAATAGCTAGAACCTACAACCAAGATTACTTTATCCAGCAAAGCTATCATTCAGAGTTGAAGGTCAGATAAAGAGCTTCATAGATAAGGAAAAGCTAAAGGAGTTCACCACCACCAAACCAGGATTATATGAAATGCTGAAAGGTATCCTTTAAGAAGAGGAAGAAGAAGAAAAAGGTAAAGATACAAATTATGAACAACAAATACACATCTATCAACAAGTGAATCTAAAAATCAAGTGAATAAATAATCTGATGAACAGAATAAACTGGTGAATATAATAGAATCAGGGGCATAGAAAGGGAGTGGACTGACTATTCTTGGGTGGGGACGGGGTGTGGGGGATGCAGGAAGAGACTGGACAAAAATCGTACACCTATGGATGAGGACTAGTAGGGGTGGTAAGGGCAGAGGGTGGGGTGGGAACCAGGTGGAGGGGAGCTTTGGGGGGAAAAAAGAGGAACAACTGTAATAATCTGAACAATAAAGATTTAATTTAAAAAAAAACTTGTAAAAAATAAAATAAATACAATAAAAAAAATAAAAAGATAGTGTAAGTTTCTTGGTCATTTGTTTTAAAGATCCACTTTGAAAGCATGCCTTTGAAACTGCATAGGCACCGTCCTGCCCAATGAATTCAGGCCATCTCCTTCAATTTCAGCCCTCTGTAGCTAGCTGCAGAGTTAGATGCAGCCTAATGAGGCCTGCTTGGCAAAAAAAAATCCCTGAATTAAAATTAACATGCCTTTCCCATGAATTGCCATTACAAGGTGACAACTACAGTTTATTGGGGAAGGTCCCTTAGAATGCTGAGTGTAATGTACAGTAAGATGTTGCTGGGGCTTCCCTGCCGAATTCCCTTTTTTCCTTTATCGTTGTCCTAACCTTAGCTTCTTTCTCCCACCTGAGCCTAGCTGAGAAGACTAAATCATGGAGGTGAAATAACTTACTCATGGTCATTTAGTGACAAAGTGGCGGAGCTGGGCTGAACCCTGCTCTCTTCTCTGCCTGCTGAGGCTCATATCCTTAGTACTGAGCCCAGACTTCTCTATTGACTTTTAGAGCTCCTCACACATGGGCTTTGGTCTACCCATCTTTGTATCTTTCCCCTACTCTCCATGTCCACCCTTAGCTGTGTTCCACTGGTTTGCCTTCTTGCTCCCCTCATGTACCCAATTTATTTTACCTCTGTGCCTTTTCTCATGTCAATTCAGTACTTTGGCCTGGAAGGCCCGCCCACCCCTCTGCCCTGTTGTTTTAATTCTTAACCCAGAAGACTGTGTTTATATCACATGTCTTCTATGAAGCACTTCCTGCTGTTCCAATCCCTTTTTTTCTGGAATTTCTATTGTTAGTTTGCGCTATAGTTCAGCTCTTGGTTCTTCCCTCTGTGATCATCGTATCTCCTTAACTGGATTGTGATTTTTGTTGTTGTTGTTAATCCTCACCCAAGGGTATTTTCTCCTATTTTTAAGAGAGAATGGAAGGTTGGGGGAGAGAGTGAAACATTCACGTAAGAGAGACACATTGATTGATTGCCCCCCGCACCCCAACTGGGGATCAAACCTGCAGCTCTTTGGTCCACGGGCCCATGCTCTAACCACTTAGCCATGTTGGCGAGGGCAGATTGTAACTTTCTTAAAGGCAGGGACTACATGCAGTTAATGTCCTCCACAGAACACAATGCCCATGATAGGAACTCAAAAGTAATTACAAACTAAAATGGATGATTACTTGCTTTCAAACTTGAGCTTCTGTAAGTAAATGTCCCAATTTATATAAAAGCTCAGAATTTCCACTTGGCTTAAGAGTTGCCTTGATCCCTCCTGTGTTGTCCTACCTCAGGTCACCATTCTTCAGCTGCATCATGAAGAATGCTTTCCCCACTGAATTCTCATACCTTAGTGCTGGTGCTTGCTGCAAGTACCAAGGTTTATTGGATTCCGTTCCCAAGCCCTAAGATGGGCTTCCTAGATTGTGGTGGAGGGAACCCTGATTGGAAGGGCACCCTGTACTGACTTTCTGTATTGTGTCCCAGACTATACCATTCTGGACTGCATTTACAGTGAGGCGAAGCAGACCTACTACATTCTGGATGTGATGTGCTGGCGGGGCCACCCTTTTTATGACTGCCAGGTAAGGAACAATAATCTCCTCGTGTGTTCTGTTTTCTCCATTTCTTGCATCTTTGAGTTTGTTTAAGTTAGCTTTTTTTTTTAAAATATGGAATGCTTCATGAATTTGCAGGTCATCCTTGCACAGGGGTCATGCTAATCACTGTATCGTTCCAGTATTAGTATATGTGCTGCTGAAGCAAGCACAATATAGTAAATTCTTGAGGGGAGGAAAGATAGAAACAGGGCAGAAGGGTAGGCTAGGACTTGTATAAGTTGCAGCTGCCCCCTGCCCTCTCCAGAGTCTTGGGAGGATTGTGGTCAGCGAAGATTGTAGGTGAAGGGAATGCCTTTGATCAAGATAGAGAAGGTGAAATGTAAGACATCATCTAGTAGACTCTTGCAGAAAGTCAATACAGGGGAAAAAGAACAATTGTATATAAAAAAATGGGAATAAGTACATACTATCAACAATCATTTTAAATGCAAATGGATTACGTGCTCCAATAAAAAGACATAAGGTAGCCCTAGCTGGTTTGGCTTAGTGACTAGAGTGTTGGCATGCAGACTTGAAAGGTCCCAGGTTTGATTCCAGTCAAGGGCATGTACCGTGGTTGCAGGCTCTTCTCTGGCCCGAGTCCTGCTCAGAGCAGGTACAGGAGGCAACCAATCTATGTGTTTCTCTCACATCAATGTTTCTCTCTGTCTTTCCCTCTCTCTTCTACTCTTTCTAAAAAATTGATGGAAAAATATCCTTGGGTGAGGATTTTAAAAAAAAAAAAGACAAAAGGTATCTGAGTGGATAATAAAATAAGATCCAGCCCTAGCCGGTTTGGCTCGGTGGATAGAGCGTTGGCTTGCGGACTCAAGGGTCCCATGTTCGATTCCGGTCAAGGGCATGTACCTTGGTTGTGGGCACATCCCCAGTGGGGAGTGTGCAGGAGGCAGCTGATCGATGTTTTTCTCTCATTGATGTTTCTAACTCTCTATCTCTCCTTTCCTCTCTGTAAAAATTCAATAAAATATATATATTTTTAAAAAAGAGCCATACATACACTGTCTGCAAGACCCTTTTCCAATTGAAAGATACACAAACTGAAAGTAAAGGGGTGGAAAAAGATTTTTTTTTAAATATATTTTTATTGATTAAAGAGAGGAAAGGAGAAGGGAGAGAGAGATAGAAACATCAGTGATGAAAAAGTATCATTGATCGGCTGCCTCCTGCACACTACACATTTGGGATTGACCCCACAACCCGGGGATGTGCCCTGACTGGGAATTGAACCATGACCTGCTGGTTCATTTGTTGATGTTCAACCACTGAACCACACTGGCCTGGCAGAAAAATACGTTTTAAGCAAATGCAAATGAAAAAAAAATAGCTGGCATAACAGTACTCCTATCATATAAAATAGACTTTAAAACAAAGGCTGTAATAAGAGACAAAGAAGGAAACCTTATAATGATAAAGGGATTTATCCAATAAGAGGATATAATACTTGTAAACATTTATGGTCAGGGTACATGCAAAAATCAACCAATTAATGCATAAATAAGTGAAACAACAAATCTGTGTCTTCCTTCCTCTCATATCAATAAAAAATTTAAAAAAAATTTTTAACACCGAAAAAAAAAGAGAAGGAAATTTGTTGCTTCCTTCAGCAGCACACATACTAAAATGGAATGCTACAGAGATTAGCATGGCCTTTGGGCAAGGATGACATACAAATTCATCAAGCATTACATATTTGGAGGATTAAAAAGTACAAATTGGCAGTTACGAAATTGTCATGGGGATGTATAGTACAGAATAGGGAATATAGTCAATAATAACTGGTATCAGATGGGTACTAGACATATCAGGGTGATCACTTCATAAGTTTCACAGATGATTAATAACTATGGCCCTCCTGAAGCTAATATAATGTATGTTGACTCTAATTAAAAAATAATTTTTTTATTTTAAAAAATATATTTTTATTGGTTTTTGGAGAGAGGAAGGGAGAGAGAGGAAAACATTGATGGAGAAATTGAGCAGCTGCCTCCTTCATGGCCCCTACCAGGAATTGAGCTGGCAACCTTTGGGTACACAGGACAACACCCAACCAACTGAGCCACCTCAGCCAGGGCAAAGAAAAATTTTTATTTTAAAAGTGAAGTAAAGAGAACCAAGATGGTGGCATAGGTAAACACCTGTACTTTCTGTCTCTCACAACCACATCAAAATTACAACTAAAAGACAGAACAACTATCATCCAGAACCACGGGAAAGCTGGCTGAGTGGAAGTACTACAACCAGAGAGGTAAAGAAGAAAGCTCATTGAGACTGGTAGGAAGTGCAGAGGCATGGAATGGGCTGGCACCCAGGTGCGCTGCTTTTTTAATTGGGAGGGAGATACAAACTCCTGCTTGCTCTGAACTCCAGTTCCAGGCGAGACTCTGGGGGACCCAGACACATACGGGGGGAAACTGGAGTATCTGGCATCAGGGCAGGAACGCGAGGGCGGCTTTCTTTCAGATGGAGGTGCTCACAGCAGTCATTGTTCCTGCGCTGGGACCTCTGTGGTGCAGGGCTGACTGGCAGCCATTGCTGTTTGCTCTGCCCTGGTGATTCCCTGAGACCCCCACCCACCCAATTTATAACCTCACCCAAGCTGTGTGCAGAGGCTTTTGCATATGAATGGCCTGCCCTTTCTCAGCCTAAAACCTGTCAAACAGGCAGCAGCTGGGTCAGGGAGCCCATAAGCTATCATAAGAAGGCCCAAGGCCAGTAGCAGCAGCCTGCCTTGCTTCACAGCTGGGCCTCATCTGGGCACTTCCAAACCTGATACAAAGAGGAGGAATCTGCAGATCTCTCTGTAGCTCCTGCTGGGCAGCCCTAGGAAGTGGCTGACTTTGCACCTCCTTGGAGATCCAAGAGCCAGTGTACCCAGTGGTCAGTATGAGACCATACCAGATTACAACTGTTCACATCCTTAAGCGACACACTCAAGGGGCAGACTCAGTGAGCACCAAAGCCCCACTGAAGCAAAGCCTGCCCCATAAGAATGTCTCCTGCACAGCAGCTCTTCCATTGTAGACACAGCTGGTCCTCACAGCCAATTGGCCTGCAGGTCAGTTCCTCCCAGTGATACCAACAGCAATCAAGGCTTAACTATAGCAAGACTGTGCACACAGCCCACAAAGGGGTGCACCAAGAGTGTCCACCTCAGGTGACTGGGGAGCCTGAGCCCCTGAGCCCTATAGGACACCTACCACACAAGGCCACTCTATGAACTCAAGGAGACTTAGCAACTACCCAATACATAGAAACAAACACAGGGAAGCAACCAAAATGTGGAGACAAAGAAATATGTCACAAATGAAAGAAATGGAAGAAAGCAAAATACTAGATATAGAGTTCTAAACCACAGTGATAAGGTTACTCAAGAATCTTCTAGAAACCTCTGAGAAACTTGGTGAGACCTTCAAGGATCTTAGTGAGAATGCCAAAAACATGGAAAAGGACCAGTCAGAAATTAAGCATACACTGCTGACTGAAATAAAGAATAATATACAGAGATTCAACAGTAGACTAGAGGATCCTAGGAATCAAGTCAAAGATTTGGAATACAAGGAAGCAAAAAACATCCAACTGGAAGAGCAAAAAGAAAAATGAATCCAAAAATATGAAGATAGTGTAAGAAGTCTCTGGGACAACTTCAAGCATACTAATATCCTAATTATGGGGGTGCCAGAAGAAGAGAGAGAGAGCAAGATATTGAAAACCAATTTGAAGAAATAATGACAGAAAACTTCCCCTACCTGGTGAAAGAAATAGACTTACAAGTCCAGGAAGCGCAGAGAACCCCAAACAAAAGGAATCCAAAAAGGACCACACCAAGACACATCATAATTAAAATGCCAAGAGCAAAAGACAAAGAGAGAATCTTAAAAGCAGCAAGAGAAAAACAGTTACCTACAAGGGAGTACCCATACGACTGTCAGCCGATTTCTCAACAGAAACTTTGCAGGCCAGAAGGGAGTGGCAAGAAATATTCAAAGTGATGAATAGCAAGAACCTACAACCAAGATTACTTTATCCAGCAAAGCTATATTTAGAATTGAAGGTCAGATAAAGAGCTTCACAGATAAGAAAAAGCTAAAGGAGTTCATCACCACCAAACCGGTATTATATGAAATGTGAAGGGTATTCTTTAAAAAGAGGAAGAAGAAGAAAAAGGTAAAGATAAAAAATTATGGCCGAAACCGGTTTGGCTCAGTGGATAGAGCGTCGGCCTGCAGACTGAAAGGTCCCAGGTTCGATTACGGTCAAGGGCATGTACCTGGGTTGCGGGCACATCCCCAGTGGGAGGTGTGCAGGAGGCAGCTGATTGATGTTTCTCTGTCATCGATGTTTCTACCTCTCTATCTCTCTCCCTTCCTCTCTGTAAAAAATCAATAAAATATATTTTTTTAAAAAAAGATAAAAAATTATGAACAACAAAGTGACAACAAGTGCATATCTATCAACAAGTGAATCTAAAAATCAAATGAATAAAAAATCTGATGAACAGAATAAACTGGTGAATGTAATAGAATCAGGGGCATGGAAAGGGAGTGGACTGACAATTCTCGGGGGGATGAGGGTGTGCGGGGTTCCGGAAGAGATTTGACAAAGATCTTACACCTATGGGCAAGGACAATGGGGAGTGAGGGCCTGGGGTGGGGTGGGAACCTGTGGAGGGGAGCTATGGGGGGAAAAAGAGGAACAACTGTAATAATCTGAACAATAAAGATTTTTTTAAAAATGAAGTAAAACTGTCATTTTTAATAGATGACATGATACTATACACATAGAACCCTAACAATTCCACCAAAAATCGATAGAAGAAAGAAATTGAAGAAGGTACAAATGAAGCATATATTGTGCTCATGGACAGGAAGAATTAACATCACTAAAATGTCTATACTGTGCAAAGCACTCGAGGTTCTTTGCAGTCCTTATCAAAATAACAATGACATTTTTTACAGAAATAGAAGAAATAATTCTAAATTTATATGGAACCCAAAAAGGCACTAAAAGCCAAAGCCATCTTGAGAAGGAAATAACAAAGTTGGACATATCATGCTACCTGATATTAAACTATATTACAAGGTTATAGTAATCAAAATAACATGGTACTGGCATAAAAGCAGATTCATAGTTCAGTGGAACAGAATAGAAA